ACAATCCACGAAGGTTACCTCTGTCGACGATTTCGTCTTTATAAAGCCGAATATGCTGGATGTAGAATTTTACGGAGAAAAACTACGACTCTAATTTAATTCTGTCCTCTTTTGAATTTTATGTTTGCATAGCACAGACCGGGATAATTATTACAAAATAGCGTGGAAATGAACTTTAAAATAATTTGCAAATTCACAATTTTTATTTCCACCTGTTTGTCTTGTTTTCTAATAAAAACGGTTATGAGGACGTATCTGTTCGTGTTAACCTCGCCATGTCCGTGTTAACCTTACCGGGTCGGCGGTCAACGAAGCTTCGCTAAAAATCAAAGACTTGTTATTCCATTATCTTCTTTTTTGTTTGTTACAAATAAAAAAAAAATAATTATAGAATTTATTTTTATTCATAGCAATCGTACAATTTCTTGGTACAGTTATTTCGTCTCTGAGAATCTTTCGTACCTCGGAAAAAGCGGCGTTGAATCAGGATTTGCTTGTTAGCAAAAGTCAAATTTTTTCGATATGGCCACAGGCCTCCACCACGTCAAATATTGTTGCAAACTGAGTCAAAGTATCAGATAATCAAAATAAGAGTAAAATTATCTTGGTCGAGGCCTGTGGCCAATGCGAAATTAAACCAGGAAGTGTGAAATTCTTTAAGAATTTGGACATTTTGAGCGTTCCGTTTTGATTCCGGGTATTACGTCACATTAATGACGTCTCAAAAATATGATTTTATACTATAATAACAAATAACGGTATACGTAGATATGTTTGGGCTATAAAGGATACACCTTATTTCTCTTTTATTTTTAGCCACCTCACAGGGCCAATATCGGCACTTCGTGGCCATACTCCTTTGATATTATTTTATTGTGTTCTATTGTATTCTTTCTAACGCCATATACTATATATGGCTATATATTTACACAAAGGTTTAATGTTAAAACCTGACCGTTCCCGTTACAAAATGTGCTTTGAAGTGATCCTACGAAAATGTATGACATCTAGAATGATACATATTTCCCCTTCAAACTGATATTAGAAATTGAAATAATAGTTATCAAAGGTACCAGGCTTATGATTTAATACGCCAGACGCGCACAATAAGAGAGTTTAAAACATGTATCAACGTTAATGTGCATAGAGGTCCAGGATCAAATAAGCAAACTGTCAACATTTCTGGAATTGTTTTTTTCTAATTCTTTATCGAAAACTCATACACTCAAGATTTATCTCACGCAGGTCAAACCCTAATATGTATTTATATTTAGAAAACTGAATGATAAATGTCAAGGATGTTTTATTTTGAAAAAAAAACAAAAAACAACAAAAAAACGAAAAAAAAAACACACTGTGCTATGTCTGACATTGAGTGTTTAAGGAAGCTAGTAAAGAATTCCCACTTCACAATTATTTACACGTTGCTAAAATTATTTCCACAATATGTAACATATTTTCAAACGGTTGTAATATATACGATAAAAAAGTCGCATAATATATATATCAATGTATATAAGAAACACGAAAAACCTTGATATAAAAAGACATATGGCTCACCAGGTATTTTTTTCAAAATATGTTACAAAAATCGTAAAAGCTACTGTCCGGTCAATTGTAGCATTTGGACGATTCGTTAGTTTTAAAAAACAAATGTTACTGGTATTCGTTGTTGAATGCCAATCAATAAATAGTAATCTTTACCAGTTCATCATAAAAACACACGTTTATTGCAAATTTGATTTTGTTTTTGCTATCTTCTAAGTTGGTTAAGTGATGCTGTTATCTTAAGAAATTTAAAATATTGCTAACTCTTTTACTACAGACATGACTAAAAATCTGTCTTCAAATAGGTTTTTTCAACTTCGAAATACATCATGTATGTTTCGTTCTGTTTTAGTGAAGAACACATTACCTCGGTAGTTTTTGAAAAAAATACCTGACGAAAAAGTACAAGGAGGAACGGACAACGTCAAAAGATAATTAGAGATTGTAATAGCTTACACTATTCTGTTGGGTAATGTGAGTGAAAATCAGGAGTACATAACATAAGAGCAATGGAAGTTAAATCGACCCAAATATATATATACACTATATGTTCATTGTCGGGAAATACAAAATGTATTTGTACGAGCTTTAAAAACAGAAGGAAAAACAAGGCTCGCAAAAAATGAAGAAAAGTAATGCTTTTAGAATGAAACATTTAAGAACTAAATCTAAAGTTGCATTTGGTTTTGTTTTATATCCAAAGTGAAAGATGTCATGTGATCCGAGTCGCCGCTGAAGGTCGTATGTTAAAATTTCAACTCAAAAGTCCAGCGTGTTCATGGAATCTTTGAAAGTGAAATACATTTTTAATGAAGTCGTCTGAATGTGTATTTTTTAAATTTGCTATATTTTTGTCATCGTGTATCGCTTATAATGATGCCACCTAAAAGAAACACAAATCATTTCTGAAAGGTTTAGAGAAGTCTCATCGCAAACTCTTTTTTTTAAGACAAGTGTGTATTTAAAATCATCAAGGAGTCGGCAGTATAATAACTTTGACTGAATTAGTTGATAATCAGTACCCATATTCTTCAGTTTTAAAAGTCGTATAGCAGCTTTCTCTAGAAATAGGATGAGCAATGGTATCGTACGTTATAGCTTTACGAGACATATTATATTTACAATTAAAGTCCTTATATGGATACTGTTTTGTTAAAGTATTTAACCGTCTCTTGTTTCGGTGCAACTGTAAAAGTAACATTTAAGTGCATATTTGTTCCCAAATTGCTTCACTTACAGCGTATGGCCAAACTCAGTAAGTGGTCAATTCAACAAAGCTAATATATAATTACCGTTACATTGAAGATAAATTTGTGTTAAATAATCAATAATTACCTTAATATCATGCCGCCGTTTATCCAAATATGTACTTTGAATATATTTAATATAATCATCAATAACTATTTTCTTCCTAGATTCAGACATTTTAGTTTAACATGCAAAACTGTAAACGAAACATTTCGACAAAAGGACCAATGTGTTCCTGTTTTTTTTTTTATAAATTAAACATATCTTAATATGTGAACAGTATGAAAACTTGCTGTGATGTCAAAACACGTTAAAATCTGAGTTTTCGGTAGTAAACATTGTATTTATTAGATTTCATTTTTTTTTATATTTTCAGTTTATAAGCGTCTCTGGAGGTCTGCAATATAAGATATTATATAACTTATATAAGCACACAAGGTCATATATATTTGATATTTTAGTTATCAAGTTGTAAAAAAAAGTACAAAACTTTGACAAATCATAATAAACAATTTTGACAAAGCGCTTTCCCCATTTCTATTTTATTGCCGATTTACCTGTAAATTTGTAATTGACATACTCAACACGATGAATTTAAAGTGCACACCTGAACTCAACCAGTGTGTTTACATTTAGTATCGTTTTCTATAGTTTTAATCTGCAATTATATCCATGATAATATAATTTGCCTTAATTCTTCTAGTACGAGCCAACGAGCCAGTCCTTTAGATACAGTTGATCATTTTCAAGTATCTTTATTTATGTGGATGTGGATATCTTTTTAAGGATCCCATCTCTATATATAGATATAAGAAGATGTGGTATGAGTGCCAATGAGAAAACTCTCCATCTAAGTCACAATTTGTAAAAGTAAACCATTATAGGTCAAAGTACGGCCTTCAACACGGAGCGTTGGAAAACCAACAGTATAATCTATATAAAAAACACTTGTGAACCACATCAACAAACGACAACCGCTGAACATCAGGTTCCTGACTTAGGAGAGGTGCAAACAAATGCAGCGGGTTTAAACGTTTTAATAGGCGCCAACCTTCGCCCTGCCTGAAACAATAGTGTAACATCACAACATAGAAAGACACACTATAAAATATCAATTGAAATGGCTTAACTGAATCAAAAGACATATTAACAAAAACAAGTGAACATACACTGAACTAATAAATTTAATCTATGACACAATGTAAATACAAAATTAATATAACAAAGGGATTAGATGTAAAACAATATCAGAAAGACAACCATAACCTTGGACAAAATGCCGCCAAATAAAATAACGTACACAGGTAAATAAAAAAAATTTTGTTGTAAGGTATACATGGAGTATTAACAAAAACAAGTGACCATACACTGAACGAATAAATTTAATCTATGACACAATGTAAATACAAAATTAATAAAACAAAGGGGTTAGATGTGAAACAATATCAGAAAGACAACCATAACCTTGGACAAAATGCCGTCAAATAAAATAACGTACACAGGTAAATAAAAATAATTTTGTTGTAAGGTATACATGGAGTACGGAAATAATTTTTACAAAATAAATAATTTTGTTGTTCCTAGTACGAGAACAAAAGTGAAACTTTTTCGCCATACTAAACACTTATCAAAGGTGGTATATATTAAAAATAGTGAGACTAGATATAATACTGAATATAAGTAAACATAAAATAACAAAAATACATTACAAATTGTATCAACAGGTCAAATTACCACGAAAGTACGATTTGAGGGTACTCGAAGTTACTGAAAGCTAGTTAAAAGCCAAAAACAATTAATAATTAAAAATCATACATCAGAGACTAAAATCAACTGAAACACATCCCAGAGATTTAGTGTTTTAACGTCAGGGACAGTCAAAGAAGACATGACTTGTGCAATGCCAAAATAAAAGTATCGATAGGCAGTAGGATAGTTAGGAGTTAACCTGTTTATAAATATATATAATGTAATATATAGATAGAGTAATCTCTATATAGAAAATGAACGTGGATGTGTATTTATACATCCCAAAAAACTGTTTGAAAACAATAAAAATTTAGTTATGTTTTAATCTAGTGATGACAAAATCTAGTATATATAACATACTCCAAATGTGTGATTTGTTTTTGTTATGACCACTAATCACATTCCCCCTTTCTATTACATTAAATAAAACCCTCAAAACGCTGACATTTAATGAACTATGGGATTTGCGTTGTAAATTGAAGATTACCGTCTTCATTATATGTATCTAAGCAGTCATGGCGTCCTGATGTTCGGCATGATGTAAATGTCTTTGATTTGTATCTTTCGGAATCATTTATTCCTAGAACCGCCCAGTGTTCAACATGGGCATATATTTCGTTTCCATATTCATTTCGAAGAAAGTAACCTGGATTTCTCGGAACCTGAATCAACTGGCCATCCAAAAAGACTTTCGTTGGCTTTATTCCTTTTGTTGCTAGTAATCCCGAAGTCATACGAGATAACTCGTACATTTGAAGCTGCCAGTTTGTGCTATCTACAAGCAAACACCAAAGGTTAGTAATTTTACCAATTGTTACATTATATTTCCTTGCAATGAAGGGTCCAAGTTGCTTTAGAGACGTAAAATTTGATGATAGAAATCGAACATCTGCATCTTTTTCCCAAGGCAGAACTTTATTGAATTTTACAGCTCCAAGTACCGTTCCACCATCTGCTTCACAAATTATATTAAATTCTTCACAAGTTTTCATGATAAATTTAATCATATCGGTTAGTTCTTGTAAACAGCAAGGCGATGACATGTAGCCTTTATTTGAATGGCACTTTTGTTTCTGATTCTCACATTCAACTTTGATGTCAACTTCGTCAGCAATTTTCAAACGGAAAAGTTGCCATTTATTGTTAAAAAGTGTCCAGTCATTCGATCCTGCTGGCTGCTGTTGTTTTTGTACATAAAACATTGAATCTGGACAAACAACGGACTCTAACTTATTCCGTGAAATACGTATAAAGAAATCATGAAAAACGGAAATAGCGTTTACTTTAGTGTCAAAATAATATCTTTTCAAAGCATTTGTCTTTGAAATAAATGGACCACTTACATAATCACAAAATATACATTCATGCAATGATTCGTCATAACCCTCATGATACACTAACGAATAATTTGCATATGTAGTTTGATAACATCCTAGTTTCCAAATACCGTTTTGGTCACGCGATGCCCCCCCTGCTACAACAACGTCTAATGATTCTATTTCCCGAACTAGTCTTTCTAACCGAGCATCTATGTTGAATGAAGACACTTCTCTTGCAATTAGAGTGTATTCTGTTTTTACATTTTGTATAAGTAAGTTCCAAATTTTTCCTTCTGAATCAGACTGTGTATAATTGACAAAGAATATATTTCTACTTCGCTCTAAAATTGATATCCTTTCAACGTTTAATTTTCCAATTATAATTTGGAAATTCTTATTGATGGTAAATAAGCTTTTTATAGTCGATTGTAAATTTGGACTTTCCTCTGGTTTTAATACAATTAGAACTGTTACTAACTTATCTAAAGATGTCGAATATGAACATTTCTGTGTTTTAAATCCTCTGTCTAATTGATAAACTTCTTCACAAATATGTTTTGAAGGTTTTGTCTTTCGCTTTAAATTTTGTATATTTATTTTTGTTTTCTTTAACAAATCTGTTATAATAAACATTGCATTATTAATTGCGTCTCTTGTTTTAGAACCTCGAACATGAATTTTAGCTCTTTGTATTTCCTTGAAAAGTTTAATAAGATGACTATTAATAGTTGACAACTCAACACACATTTTCTGTTTGTTGAATCCAGTTATTTTTCCTTTGCCTTTTGTATTATTATTGATCGTTGCTCCATTGTAAAGGGTGTGACCCGTTTGTCTGCTGTATATATTCAAGTCGCTGTACAATTTAGTATACAGAAGATACAATAGATTGACAGAAATAAGGGTGAAAATGATCCATCGAATTATATGTTTAGGCATCGCTGTGTTCATTTATGTCCTGAAAGTAATGAACAAACTATATTATAGTAATATACAAACAAATATTAACATATATTATAAGGTAGTCCGATATCATAAATATGCAATGTATTGATGACTATAACTTAGCAGTCAACAGTAACATTGTACGTTCTGGATTCATTCTGGCAAGAAAACGATAATTATCAACTAATATTAAATACATTCATTTCTTTTCATCATCTGCAAGATTTAATGAATAAATAAAGACAACAGTAGTATACCGCTGTTCAAAAGTCATAAATCGATTAAGAGAAAACAAATCCGAGTTACAAACTAAAACCGAGGGAAACACATCAACTATAAGAGGAAAACAACGGAACAACAGAAACATTAAACTGCAACAAAAACAAACGCCAACGTACATAGAAACGGACTTTAAAAGTTTAAACAAAATGAACTCTGTTTGTGGAGACAACTATCGTTCCTCTATTTCCCATCATTCTAATAACTAAAACAAAGTATATTAATCTTAGGGAAGCATTAAATAAAGACTGACGGACAAATTTTACAACTGAGTTATATCACTGGTACATGTAAGCATAGATAAACGAAAAATCATGTTTTTTTTTTTCCCAAAAAAAATGTTTTATAAAGTAAGGAATAAACTGATAGTACCCCTGAACTCTTATACGGGTCATATTCACAACTGATAATATATATATTTCATGATAAATTCATAAGGTTCCCCAAAAAAGACCGTTGGTCCTAAATTACAAATGTTAAGTGAGTTCTTCTTTGTTCAAACGATTTATGACTATTCATCTAAACGTTGTAGTGTGTCGAGTAGTTTCTTAAAAACAAATGATGATAACACCCAGTCTTTGATAGAAGCATGCAAAAGGCTTATTAGTGGGTCCACATGAAATGTCACCCAAATGTTATGACATTTTGCACATATGTTATTATAATCAAAATAAAGAAAATTATAACTTTAACATTTGATCTGAGGCTATTTTTAGATTTTGCAGCGCCAACTTCTCGAAAAGGCTTAATTTCCCAAAATGTTCATGAAATGTCACATTTTTGTTGCTCTGAATATGCTATCGACAGGTAGAAGGTATTCCTATGGGCACTAACTGTGCCCCTTTAATAGCAGATTTATTCCTGTATTGCTATGATTCTCAGTTTATGACCAAACTCAGTAATTACACGTCATTGTTACATTTGGTTGATACATTCAACAATACCTACCGTTATCTTGATGATATTTTTTCGTTACATTATCCAGAGTTCTCTAAATAAACTACCGAAATTACCCAAAGGAACTTACTTTAAATAAATAAATAAACAGCAGTATTTGTCCTTTTTCTAGATTTAGGCATTTCAATTTTTAAAGGGAAACTCCATACTAAAATTTACGACAAAAGAGACGATTTTTCATTCCCAATTGTTAACTTTCCTTTTTTAGACGGCGATCTTCCTTTGTCTCCATCATACGAAGTTTATGTGTCCCAACTCGTTCGTTATGGCCGTGTGTGTAGTGAAGTAATAGATTGTAACGAACGTAATAAATGCATCACTAGTAAATTATTAGATCAGGGATTTCGTTACAATAAATTACTTAAAACTTTTACTAAATTCTTTCATAGAAACAAAGATACAGATTGGTAAATTTGGCTGTACCTGTAGAAAACGTATTAAAAACGGTATTTCACATCCTAAATTTTAGGGTAATATTGTACTAAAAGCGCGGAAATTACTATGTGATCCGTGTAAACCTATCGAACCTTTAAACAAACTTATTAGTAAAGTTTATCTTACCAATGTTGTAATTAGATCTTTGATCATAGTTAACATTGGCACAAATACCGATTTTGTCATCAGCAAACTAAAACATAACTAAATTTTTATTCTTTTCAAACGTTTTGAGGGATATATAAATACACATCCACGTTTATTTTCTATATAGTGAGTTCTCTATCTATATATTACATTATACATGTTTATTAAAAGGTTAACTCCTAACTGTCCTACTGCCTAGCGATACTTTTATTTTGGCATTGCACAAGTCATTCTTCTTTGACTGTCCATGACGTTAAAACACTTAATCTCTGGGATGTGTTTTAGTTGATTTTAGTCTCTGATGCCTGATTTTTTTATTATTAATAGTTTTTGGCTTTTAACTAGCTTTAAGTAACTGCGAGACTATCAAATCGTACTTTCGTGATAATTTGACCTGTTGATACAATTTGTAATGTATTTTTGTTATTTAATATTTACTTATTTGGTGTTATATCTAGTATCACTATTTTTAATATATACCACCTTTGATAAGTGTTTAGTCTGACGAAAAATTTTCACTTTTGTTCTCGTACTAGGTATGTATGTTCTGTATATTCCTCCTTTAATAGGAGCACCACCACGGGTTATGGTGTAAAGGAGGACATTTAACACACTGTATCGATACAGATTTAATGTGAGCATTTGCCTATCCAGTTTCCCAGCCTGGCCGTGACAGGTCTTACTACCAGAAAGTTAACCTCCCCTAAAAACAATAAGTACAATACAATTAAACATACGAACACACCCACTCACCTGATTCGCTCATCATCAAAAATATAAATAATGCAAAATATAAAAAAAAAACCCAATTTTAAATAAATAAGCCCATAAAAGACGGAATGCAATATATAAAAGGATAAAAGTCTTTCTTTCAGCGCGCCTCAGAATTTCACACGTCAATTCATCCACACATGCGTGCTAGGAACAACAAAATTATTTATTTTGTAAAATTATTTCCGTACTCCATGTATACCTTACAACAAAATTATTTTTATTTACCTGAGTACGTTAATTTATTTGGCGGCATTTTGTCCAAGGTTATGGTTGTTTCTCTGATATTGTTTTACATCTTACCCCCTTTTTTTTTTATTAATTTTGTATTTACATTGTGTCATAGATCAAATTTATTCGTTCAGTGTATGTTCACTTGTTTTTGTTAATATGTCTTTTGATTGAGTTAAGCCATTTCAATTTATATTTTATAGTGTGTCTTTCTATGTTGTGATGTTACACTATTGTTTCAGGTAGGGTGAAGGTTGGCGCCTATTAAAACGTTTAAACCCGCTGCATTTGTTTGCACCTGTCCTAAGTCGGGAACCTGATGTTCAGTAGTTGTCGATTGTTGATGTGGTTCATAAGTGTTTCTCGTTTCTCGTTTTTTATATAGATTATACCGCTGGTTTTCCTGTTTGAATGGTTTTACACTAGTCATTTTTGGAGCATTTTATAGCTTGCTGTTCTGAGTGAGCCAAGGCTTCGTGTTGAAGGCCGTACTTTGACCTATAATGGTTTACTTTTACTAATTATGACTTGGATGGAGAGTTGTCTCATTGGCATTCATACCACATCTTCTAATATCTAGATATGGTTATGTTGAGGTGGTATTTGAATTGATTTTTATTACAAGCATTATTCGTCCTGCGAAACTTGACAAAATGTTACAGTTTAATATAGCTATTGTTTTGGGCTTACACGTCGAAAAGGGGCATTTGGGCTTTTTTTTTTTAGATACCTGATAAAAAGATCAACAATCAGACATGAAATCTTTTAAAGTAATATGATTTTTTTTAATGTATTAAAGATTTCTATAAACATTTACATATGTGTTACAAGTTTTATGATTCTTAAGCTGGGGTCTCTTACATCGTTACCATGGCAACAGAATAAAAATGTGTAATTTTAGCGTATTTTTCTATATAATCCTTGTATATAAACATAAGATCTTTTTTTTTTATATATTTTGACACTGGTTTATGATATTTGGCATGACGGTGTATAACCATCAGACAGTTTATCGCATAACATCATTATAGTCAAACTACTTGTACACAAGTGTAGCACCTGAATTTGATGTGTCGCGTTCAATGGGTGATGACCTTGACTTTTGACATCTAAGGTCAAACAAAAGGTCACGGTCAAATATTTTTCTTTATGTCACCATTTAATTATAAACAATCCTAAATTGAAAACAACGTTCAAACCTATGATTGCGTTGAATAAAAACCGCAATAATTATACGCGTGCATGCAAAACAAATTTCTTGTTAGAGAGGTCTAAATACAGCACAAACAACATTTTCCAAAAGACCAAAAAAGTGAAAAAGTATATTTCAAAAAAACGCATTTGACTAACAGGTCGAACAACAAATGTTCTTAAACCCTGCTGACTGCCATTGGCGATTGCGAAATAAACGGATCACCGATTTAATAAATGGATCTTAATTTTAAATTTAATACTAAACAGAAAACAATAAACTTGCGGAAAAGATGATATACCGCAAACAAAAGGTGCGAAGGTTTTTGTACACCATATCCGGATTTCGACAAATAATGTCTCTTTAGTGATGTTAGGAATCGAAACGGTATTTGGAAAGCCCAACAATTTACCTCAATTTAGGATAGACTCTTGAATTTTGAGGAGTTAAAATAGGATAAACGGATCATATAAACACTAAGGCAAATATAATACAAGCCCAAACGAAAAATATAAACAAGTCTAACTTGAAAACAACGTTCGAACCTATGATTGCGTTGGATAAAAACCGCAATAATTATACGTGTGCATGCAAAACAAATTTCTTGTTAGAGGGGTCTAAATACAGCACAAACAACATTTTCCAAAAGACCAAAAAAGTATAAAAGTATATTTTAACAAAATGCATTTGACTAACAGGTCGAACAACAAATGTTCTTAACCCCTGCTGACTGCCATTGGCGATTGCCAAATAAACGGATCACCGATGTAATAAATGAATCTTAATTTTA